TTTTAATTTTGCGAATTATTTTTTGATTTTTATTCAATTCTCCTATTTTTAAAGAATAGACGCTAAAAATTTCATGTGATTTGGATTGTAGAAAAATACTTAAAATTCAAAATACGAAAAACAATCGTGACCATTGTATTAGCGTAGATTCAATCTTGCCATTGGGCTTACACTGTAGCTATCTGCTAGTGGGGTAACAGGAGTGTGTGTATATATATATATATGTATATATATATTTCCATTATGATTTATGTTTTCCATGGTGGTCTAAATTTTGAGTATCTTAAGACCATCTTTGATTGACGTTTGGTTTGCATGGAGATACATATTTCTTTTAGGGCTATAAATGGATTGGGACCAGGTTAACCGCTGTCTGACCCAATTGGATCTAAGTTAAACCCGAGCTTGAGTCGGTTCCATGTAAATTGGACCTGCCCTGACTTGTGGAGTCAGGTCGAGTCCAATTCAAGATTTATTTAAAATAGAAATTTAATACATGCTTATATATACCAAATGTAAATATGTGGGGTAGGATCGACCCCGACTAAGACCCAAATTCCTGGGCTTGGACCTTGACCCGAACCTGTCTAGGTCACTTGGACCCAGACCTAATGTTTCTGGGTCCATTTTACACGTCGAGAAACCAGACTTGAGTCAGGTCGACGTGCCGGGTCTAGGGGTCGGCTTCCGTATGACAACCTTACTTTGTTCTTATAATCATTGGTGAATTTCATATTGTTTATTAAATAAATTTGGACTAAGGCCCCCAATTTGTGTTCTTGTAGGTGGTGGGATTGTGTTGCTTTGCCCAATGATATTGATTGCAACCAGGAAGCCTCATTTAGAATGCAAATGCGGGAGTTAGCGTTCACGGTGACCTGCCTCTTTCCCTTGTCTACTTAAGTTTTCATCATCATGTGTACTACTATGCACACAAAAGGCTTGGCTTATTCTCATCGTTTGGAGTGGGTTCTATGAATTTTGAGAATCACTCTTGCCGGATGTATGTTTAATAATGTGTAACTACTATGTATGTTCAAAGACGGGAAATCAATTGAGCTTCTATGGGGGGCAGTGAGGATATTTAATATCCTTCCTTCAATTTATCTGTTATATACTCTAATCATAGGATAAATTCTTGTAGATTTCTTTTCTTTATTTGTGAATGGTAATGTATATTTATGCTACTTTCATGTCGATTTCACATTGCCCTAAAAGTTCATTGGCTTTTAGGAAATGGTGTGGGAAAATCAGGTCGCCAATCTTCAGAGGAGGTTATTTAAGAGAGAGATGTATGTGTTATTCAATCATGTTGTTATACCTGCTTCTATTTTCACTCATTATAGTAAAGGAAAATTTCTGCATTTATGCTTCATAACTAGGACGAGAATGATAAACTGTAAACATTCATTCTATACTTTGAACCTAACCTGTGGGTTTCACATCTGTATAAATATAATTTCTTTAGTTAATAAATTTTGTGGCTTTCCTTCGTTGATCATTGGTTTTGAAACTGATTTAACCATTACATATTTGTTATCCTTATGCGCATGTGCAATTTGTTATTTGATGCAAGTCTAGCTTTGTACTTCTTTAGCTTATATATATGTCATTATGGACCTATCAATGGAGAAATTCTAATCTGTAACAGGATTGAATTTCTTAATTGTTTAGTCAGAGTCTGAACTAAGGATTGCTAATTCTCTTTTCAGTCTCTGCAACTTCTGAAGGACTCAATATTTTGTGAGGATTATGCGCCTTGTATCCTTTTTGTTCCCCTTTTATCATTCAGCAATTTCTTTTAGGGTACTTTGAACATGCATTTACGTTTTGATCATCAATCCTATATGAGTTTGCCTCCTTGATCTTTTGCCTAGTATTTTCCCTTGAAATCTATGGGAACATTATTGGCATGTTTGAGCTCAACAATCTGTAAGTTTTTTAGCAGTCGATAACATTTGTGTAATGATCTCTCTCAGTTTCCTTTTTCTTAATTATACTATATTTTTTTACGAACTTATGGTTTACCTTGTATTATTAGTTCTAAAGTTGTATATCTGTTCAAGTTTCTTGTCAGGCTTACATTTTTATATGGATCAAATAACCTTTATGCAGTGATGTAGTTGTAGCATCACCTGTGGAGGATTACTTTATTTATATTGATGACCTTTTGTTTCCGAAAAAGGTTAAGAGGGTTATCCACTCATCTTTATTATCTAATTTTAATCCCAATTTGAAGTGTTTTAATTCCACTCAGTAATTTTACTCAATTTTATATTTATTTAGTTTCCAATTAAATTGCTGCAGGAAGAAGCCATGGAAGTCACTCAACCCATCTTGAAAGCTCTTGGTGATGACTATTCCATTTGTTGTCAAGGTGCTATTAGATTTTTATGCTGAACAGATCTTTCTTGGGTACAATATTGATTGAAGAGGATCTACATGCTTATTAATAAATACTTAATATTATAGTATTGGTTTCTCATACCAGCCAGCCTTCATCTTTATTATCAAGGGACAAAGGAGATGGCTTCTATTCCCCTATAAATAAGTATGGGCATAAAAGAGGAGAACAGCTCATCACCATTGTCTGAGGATAAGGATGGATGGTCAATGTTGTGACTGAGCATAGTTACAAGGATCTCCTACTTTGGTTGGCAATCCCTTCTAAGGTCTCGATTTTATCGCCTTTGGAACAAATCTCTCAAGGATTTCGATTTTTGAATTTTGGGTTCTCGATCCCCACTAATAGCATCCGGATTTCTGCTGTTACGGATCTCGATCCAACCCTAAAGTTCAAAACAACAACCAAATCGATCATTTTCTTTGTTTATAGCTAGCTATTAGCACAACTGTACTTTCAATACAGTTGCGTTGCTTGCTTGCTATCAATAATGAGGTGTGTCACATTTTGCTTGTCCATATGTAGCAATTTGATGGGAAAATACACCATGATGGTGAGAAGAACACGTTCTCCTTCACCGAGGATAATAACAGGATACACCTCTTCCTCAAAAGGATATGATACAACCTGGGAATGAAGTAATGAATCTCAAGTTCCTCAAAAGGAGGGGGAAAGGTGCCAATCCTTTTGAATAAAATGCAAATTAAATTGAAGGGCAAGGAGATGCAAATAGCATGTGCTCTTGCTACTAAGGAAGAGGTAAAGAGTCCATCGATACCACAAGATATCACTCCTTTTTGGAGGAACTCACTCCAAAAGAGCTTTCTATTGGCCTTCCTCCTTTGAGAAATATGCTATACTGTACATTTCTAACTCTTAGAGCAAATCTCTTCCACGCTTGGCCCACTATTAGATGAGTCCAGCGGTGCATAAAGGGTTGCATAGGCAAGTCATTGAATTGCTAAGAAAAGGGTTTACACTGATATGTCGAGTGGCACTTAGATTTTCTCCAAGATTGATCTCAGGGGTGAATGCTATCAATATCATATTTGATCTAGAGATGAATTGAAAATAACCTTCAAGACTAGCGAGGGTCTTTATAAGAAGGGGTCGTCACTTCGTGTGATGGAAAAAGGCTCGGGTGGCCAGCGCAAGAGCGTGGGTTCGAGTCCTGAGAGAGACCACGTTGTGCACAAGCCAAAGATTAGGACCATTTCCAGCCCACCCCTCTCCGGACCCTGCTTAAGCAGGACAAGCACCGGGTTACAACCCTTTACTAGCGAGGGTCTTTATGAGTGGCTAGTCATGCCCTTTGGTTTGTACAACGCACCATGCACCTTTATGCTTACGATGAACCAAATTTTATGACCATTCATTGAGAAATTTGTGGTTGTATGCTTTGATGATATTATAATATATAGTATTGGTTGAGGTGATCATTTAGTGCACTCATATGGCAGAGTCATTGGTTCAAATCCAATAGTAGGTCAAACTTCTTATACACCATTGACTCCGGTATATAAGAAGTTTTTCTACCCACCTCTTTTTTTAGAGATCCTAAGGGAGAATAAGTTGTATGGCAACTTTAAGAAGTGTACCTTCTTTACTAGAACTTTGATTTTTTTGGGCTGTCTTTTTAGCAGAAGGGATTAAGGTTGTTATGTCAATGAATGTTTGGGCCTTACCAGATTCTCAAGAAGTTAGTTGATAATGCTCATCTCCTAGACTTCCCGAGTACTTTAACATCTCGTCAATCTTTAATATTGCCAATCTTTACAAGTTTTGAGGTGATCCACCTAAACTTGGATCCAGCTATTTAGGATGAGATAGAGGTTGTGGTGGATGTTGAAACCATTGATACACGTCGTTGTTGATACATGAGATACTTGGTTGATTGGAAAGATTAGTTGATTGATTGTTCACGTATTGATGAGCGTGAGTTATGGAGGATGCAGAAGGCCCTTTATCAACATTGCATGAAGGCGTACTCGATGGGGTCGAGTTATTCCTAATTGAAAGAGAATTTTTTTGGGTAAGTTAGTGGGGGAGAAGACCCCATACCTGTTTTTCATTAATAAAAAAGCAGAGAAAAACAATTAAGATACAACCCTATGGTAGGGTAATTGCACCAGATTGTGTTACTTTGGATTTTAATATATTTTAGTTTTGTAGGGGTATTTATTTCTTGTTGGTGTTGTAGAACATTCAGGGGCAGTTCTGTCAATTTGTTATTTTATTTACATAGGGTATTTTAGGTCAGATTGCTTTATGTATACAAAAAAGGAGAGAAGGATGTCCAATGCCTTAAGATGTTTTATTTTGAGAACCTTTGGGGGTGTACTAGAAAGGGCTTCTTGATTTCTTTGATTAAAGGCCATAGAGAAAGCTCGGTAGCACATCCTAAGGTCTCTCCCTCTAAGGTACTCAACAATTTCTTCATCTCTTCTTTCCCTTCTTTTCTTTTCGTTTTTCTTTTTCCTTGCATTACTTGTTTTCTTCTCTTTCTTGCATTTCTTACTTCTTTTCTTTCATTTCTTTCCTCCCTTCTTTTCTTTTATGTCCTTTTCTTGCTTCTTTTCTTTTTCTTGTTACATCTTTTCTTTCCTTGAATTCTTATTCTTCCCGCTTTCCTAATTTTGTTTCTCCCTTATTTTCTGAAAGGTGGATTATGTGACCGGGAAGTCAATATCGATCAAAATGTTTCTACCTTTTTCTTTAGCATTGCTACCCGAATCACTCATAGGTATCCAGTACAATATGTGAGACAAGTTCTTGGACGTAGATCTCCTGTGCCATTTGTTGAGGAGACTCGGTGTGGGGTGCGCTAAGTCTTTAGGGGTGACCTGAGGCAAGGTATAAGGTGTGCTTTTAGTTTATATTCTCTTTATTCTATTGCATCTTTATTTCCAAATCTGTACCATGAATGTATTTTTGTTTTTGGTATCAGAGTTTTGGTATCAGAGCTAAGACTTCTTTCTGCCTTTTTTTTTTTAATTTTATTTTATTGCTATTGCTGTTGCTATAATTTGATTCAAGAGTCACGGTTGCAAAGAGTTTTATGGCCGAACTCTTGAAATAAAAAAGATTTCATAGGAGCAATTACTCTTCTTGAAAGCGTAAAGTGGGATATGAGGAAAATCTCTGCGATATGCTTATCCATGACTCCCCATCGGTTTCAAGAGGGAATGCTTATGAAAGGCAGCATGTAAAGAAGATTATGCACAGTGGGAGTAGAAGAATATGCTTGCTAAGCTTATACTTCTTGTTACGATGCATGACTCTTATACATCGGAATACGAGAACTTGAAGATTGCAAAAACAATTCATGGAAAGCTAGAGAAGGAATTTGTTGATCCTTATTTAGTTAACAAGCCCTTGTTTTAAAGAAGTACTACGATCTGTAGACGGCGGAAGGAGTCAAGATTGCTAAGTACGTGCACATGTTCCGAGCCCTAGTTTGTGAGCTCGAAGCTATCGACATGAAGCCCCCCAAGCCCATGCAAACTTTTCATCTCTTGAACACTCCTTCAACTTCTTGGGAGGTGTTTATGTCATTTCTCTCTGTTCGAGAGAATACTCTCAAATTAGAAGAGCTTTATATCATCCTTAAAGCAGTGGAAGAGAGATTGTAAGGCCTTCAAAGGTCAAGTAGAAAATGTTGGAGTTTTGTTTCCATTTAAAGTCCTTATCAAGCCAACTTATTATTATGTTTGGAACGAAGTCCAACTCGGCGAGATAGAGATCGTATATCTTCCCACTGAGGCAATGCTTGCAGGCCCTTTGACCAAGGGATTAGTGGCAAATGTGTTCGCCAAACATGTACATGGGATGGGGCTGAGAGAAAGTGAGGAAAATTTTGTGGCCATTTAAAGGCCTTATGAGAGCATGCATTGAAGAACATATAGTGAAATGTTGGCTCCAGTGGGAGTGTGGTCCACTTTGGACTGTGAGACATAACATTTCACTAGAAATGCCTCAC